TCCTAGCGGTACTACCTCCTGACTGGGGCGGTACAACCGCCTGGCAGCTCGGAGACTGAGCCTCTGGGCGGTGCCACCGCCTGACAGGGGTGGTACCACTGCCCAGTCTTGCTCGGAGACTGAGCCCAGGCGGTGCCACCGCTTGACTGGGGCGGTTCCACCGCCCAGTCTTGCTCGGAGATTGAGCCCAGGCGGTTCCACCGCCTGACCTGGGCGGTTGCACCGTCCAGCTTTCCTGGGAGACCATCTCCTGGGCGGTGCCACCGCCTAGCAGGAATTTTGGTCCGAATTGGTTGATCCATTCGTCCCAATTTGAGTCTATCAAGGGCCCAATTGCCCCTAGATTAAGTTAATGGGATCACCTCCCATTCCTAACTTAATCTACATGCTAACTACGATATTTCTTAAGACATTTACTGCAACTTGCTCTGGTGCGTCGATCGCTTCTTCCGGCGAACATCCGACGAACCTTCGGCAATGCTCCGACGGACTTCCGGCAAACTCCTGGACTTGCAACGATCCACTTGGCGAGTTCCGACGAGCTTCTTTGGCAAGCTCCTGGACTTCTCGGATTTGTTCCCGCAGAACCTCCGACGACCGTCCGGACTTCCGTCGAACTCTCGAACTCCCAACGTGATCATAGTCTTGACTACGGCGCAACTCTTGCTGCATGTCTTACTTCCATCGTAGTTAATCTTGCACATGTAAAACAAAACTTCGATCGAGACAATTAATCCTAAGCAATTAACCAAGTTGTTCGGCATGTCATTGGTCCCTCGACGCTTCGTTCGATTCTTCGGCGCATCGTCCTCTCCTGCGGCCTATTGCCCGATCGGCCAGTTGACTCTGCAACTCCGATATCCTTGGCACAATACCCGCTCTTCTTGGCACGATGCCCGAGTCCACGGCCCGAAGCCTTCTGTCGATTCGTCGACCGATCCATCGGCCCGACGTCCAATCTTCTGACATGTTCCTCCGGCACAACATGATTTTTCTGCTTTAATTGTCTCATCCTGATCGAAGTATCCTGCGTCACTTAAAACGCAGATTAAATCATAAACATATATCAAGTGGTTTTGATCATCAAAATACGAGATTCAATAAGAAGACCTCTTGTACCAAGCATAGTGAGAAGTCTTAAGACCAAAAAATCTTTTCATTGGTTTGCAACATTGTAATCATAATGGTTTCTTCTTTTATTTGGTTTGCTTGAGAAGTGAAATAATATAAAAAACCAAGTTATCTTATCAAAGAAATGTTTGAACTTAGTGTTGCATATTCATGTTAGTAAAATATCTGAGACAAGGTCTTGTCCATTTGATGGAAATCAGTGATTTAAAAAGCGTTAGGCGCCAAAGTCCAAAAACGTCCGAGGCGCTAGGCGCTCGCTCGAGCGAAGCGAGGCGCTAAAATATAAAAATATATAATATAATTAATAAAATAAAATAAAAATATAAAAATATAATATAATTAATAAAAATTAATAATATTAAAATTAAAATAATATATTATTAATCTATTAATAATATTAAAAATTAATCATTTCAAATAAACTTAATAATATTAACATTTAACAGTATACAGTATATGTATACTGTTAAAAGGAAGTGTAAAGGGGTGCTGAGCCTGCTGACTGAGAAAAGAGGAAACGACAGCGGCGACGGCGACAGCGGTGAGCGGCGATAGTGGGAGTGGGAGCGGGAGTGGCGAGCAGCGGTAGCGTTTGCGAGCAGCGGCAGCGGGAGTAGGAGCAGGAGTGGGAGCAGGAGCGGCGAGTAGCGGTAGGCGCGAGCGGCGACAGCGGCGAGCAGTGGCAGCGGGAGCAGGAGCGGCGACAGCGGCAGCGTTTGTGAGCGACGGCAGCGGCGAGCGGCGACAACGGCGAGCAGCGGGATCGGTAGCGGCGAGGGTTAGGGTTCGTTTGTCACTTATATCAGCTTTAGTTGGTTCGATTGAACCAACTAACCATCATAGACCGAACCAGACCTAAAATCTTGGTTCGGTCGCCTTAGTTATGATAGAACCCTTGCAGATTCTAAACTTGGGGTTGATCTCTTTAGGGGATCGGCCTCCTTGGAACTCTATAGGGGTTCCTCCCTCCAAGTTGCTGCTCAAAGGCTACAGAAAAGATTCATCTATTGCTTATGAAAAGAGGAGGAATACATGGCTATTTATAGGGCTTCTAAACCCTAACTCATAATAGGATTCCTACTCAAGACTCCTACTTCTAACCAACTCCTAATAGGACTCCTACTTAAGACTCTTATTCCCTTACAACTCCTAATTCTTCTCTAAGAAATAACCTCGTAACCCTAGCCGGCCTCTTCACCTCTTTAATAAGAGTCGGCTTAGGTAGGTTTTACATGAATGTCCCTCTCAATTAGGACTCTCCTAGCTAGAGTCCTAACAAGTTAACCCAGGCGCTTGCCCGAAGCGCCCAGCGCCTGGGCTCGGGCGAGTCCCCAGGCGGCGCCTGTTTGAAGCGTGGCGCCTGGGAGATTAGCGAGGCGCTCAGGCCTCGCCTCGCCTCGCCCAAGCGCCTAGGCGAGCGCTCAAGCACCTTTTTAAATCGCTGATGGAAACCAATTTGAATGCATTATTCACACAATGATTCTCATTGAAACATGATCAGGTAGCTGTGGAACTTAGTGTTGCTTAATATTTTCTTGGAATTGGTCATCTGTATTTTGTGTAACATGCAAAAAATGCTGCTATTACCTTTATTATATGGCTGTGATGTAGTCTTTTCCTTTTCCAAATAGATGAGTTAAGACACGAACCTCTTATGTTTACTCATGACTTTATTTCATGTTTCAGCTTTGTGAGTTGTCCTTCAATAAAACTCATCATCTCAGGAATCCATATAATGACAACCTCCCAGTGAAGGTATGACACAAAATCCCATCTGGTAATTGAAGTTAAAAAGGACAATTTTGTCCAATGATTTGCTTTCTTAAATATGGAAAAATTGAAAATAGTCTTGGGAGGATGAAATGCAGTACAATGTAGGATGTTCTATAGAAACTTAAGCATCGGTGAAAGTCCATGCTAATTGAAATTATTGAAGTATCAAAGATCAAAAGTAAAACAACTCCTTCCTTATTTTTTCCATTTCTACAATATTGATAAATTTGTTCTTTTATCTTGTTTGAATTGTAGTTTGAAAGACTTTGTGAAGCATTTCTGAACTAGTTATATCAACTATTCATATTCTTTCTCAACTAATTGCTTAAATTTAATAAAATGACCCTAATTTGTGTAACTCTTTAACAAAAATAAGGGGTTATCATAATTTATAATGCACTTAATACTATTAGTTTCTTTTAGGTTCTATTTGTTTTTCTTTAAGTGGATGAAGCCAGAAGTCAGGTTTTTAAAAGTGGCATTTTCAAAATCAACTTCTAAATTTTTAGGATTTTTCTATAAATCCCCTCTCATGTCATTATCATTAAAATCCTTCATCGAGATTTATATCCTGCTCCTACATTATGCCTTTTGTAGATTTTGAACTCCTTTATAGGCAACAAACATGACATAATATTTCTTTCATCGTCTAGAACAACCATTACAATGTTACCATTATGCCCTTGTATGTCCTTGAAAGGTTCCCTTTTTTCATCTTGCTCTTCTGCACATGCCATGACACACCACCATCAGGATTTCTCATTTTCAAATATCATTAGGATCTATCTTCTTTAAAATATGTGACATACTGATAGAGATAAATGCTCATTGAATAATTATAAAGAATTGGAAACTAGACCCATCTCATGGAAGTTTGGCATCAGTTTCCCAATCAAAATGGGAGTGTGATGTCATTTTCTGTGTTAGTGGGAATTGGAAGGTTAGCCTTTTCTCTTAGTTGCAATTTGTGGACTATAAAATTTTTGATGTTTTTGTTTGATCATGGGGAGACAATGATGCAGTGGATGAAAGAAATAATTGGAAAGGAAGTTGGAGGATATTGAGGACAAAGATTATGAAAGAACAAAGTAAAGAAATCTAGAGTGTACTTGAAAAAAAATCTGATTTGTAAAGGTGAGTAAGACCATGATTTGTGGCATTGGTTGATTCCAATGTGATATGCATGATTTGTATCATTATTATCTATGGTTGGTTCAATTTCGCTTGATTTTCACTGGCTTATAATCAGAAATCTTGGTGAAAAATTTATCAAACTCAAATGAAGTTGTTTGATTTTAACCAATTCTGGTCGATTTGACATTGTCAGAAGAAGAAAGAGAAGAGGGAAGGAGCACCAGAAAAGGAAGGAGAAACAATAGGAATATTGAGATAGGAAAGATAATAAGGAAGCCTATGACAATGAGAGTGAAACAAGAGACAAGACTTTGTTCCTATTGCATTTACTATCTGCTTAAACTATCAGATTTGTTATCTTCCATCATTTTTGTAATGTTCATTGTCCACTGCCATATAAGACGTTAGATGGGAGGATAGGATGTAGCCCATGTTTTGATTTTATATGATGCCGCCATGAGATTTAAAATCAGCTCCAAATACCATGAGTGCTCTTTTCAAGTAATTTCTTTATGTTTATCTTTGCATTATCCTGCAATTTAGCTATGTTATCTCCAAAGTTATAGATGGATAAGTTTTGAATTCTATGTGATATATAAAATATTATCTTTTGTAGTGATATCCTTTTCTTCCAAGTAAATATTGTGATGTAGATCATCCCATCTTGGGTGGTCCAGGGTCAAAATAAGGTTTACTGCTCGATAACCCTTGCAAATTGGTTTGTCTGCTTCAATTTGCCCATTACCAGGCCTGAACCAGGTGGGAAGCCTGATCAGGATTTTCATTGAATTGTTTTTTTTTTCGAATCACTTAACCTTAACCCCTTCCGTGATGTTCTGCCCTTCTGTACTCTTGCCATGCTAGCACAATCACTGGCTCACCTCTGCTTGCATTTGCTAACCCTTACTATCCAGTTTAGGATTTTATTGAATTGTTTTCTTTAATCACTTAGCCTTAACCCCTCCCCCTGACACACCCCTGTGTGCTTGCCTGCATACTGCCGGCCCTATGCTTGAATCGCCTGCCGCTATCAACCCATCACCTGAGCCTGGTATTCATGTTTTGTTTGGCTTCCTCTTGTCTTATCCTTCCCCTCTTCTTCCTCTTCTCCTATTTTTCTCCTCTTCCTCACAGAAGATGAGGTGAATCAATTATAGAGAAACACCTAAGACAATTTATTAGAATTAAAAAATAATTACTTTTGATTTAGTAGTAATATTGTCTTCAACAGAGCTAAATGTCCAGGAAAAGGATCAATACTCTATCCCAAATAGTTGTGATATACAATTTATTGTTGATTTTTGTATTTTGGAGATTTTTTAGTTTTTATCCCTTGGAATAAGATGTTTGCCATTAAGACATCAATTTCCCTTTTGGATTCTTATTTAATTGCAGATAAGTCGAGATTGCCAAGAGTTGGAGCCTTTTATTGGTGAGCAGTTGGCCTCACTGCTTTATCTCGAGCCGGATGGTGAACTAATGGTGTGCTATTTCCTTTTCAATTAATGTCACTATTGGAATGTTTTCCAATTTCAATTGCATTATTCTCATTTCTCAAGTAATTCAAATTCTGAGAGTTGAGCTAGGATGTGTTTGGTTGTGTAAATAAAAAAATCATAATTAAAGTAAACTCTGATGAGTAGTTATTGTGAAGATTGACAGGTCTGGCAAAATACACTAATGTTAGACAGTCAAAATGATGAAATTGTTTGATTTTGTTGGATCCTTAATCAACTCAATGGTTTCTGTCAACAATTTTAGGCTTGAATAGCCTTCAAGTTTCCATATTCTTTTTTTCTGGTAGATTCAGTTCAGATCAATAAATTTTAGCATGTTATATAATCTTTGCCTATTGTTTCATGTAGTATTATAGTTCTCTGCATGGTCAATATGCTAAAATATTTAATCATTTCACTTGGTACTTTCTGCTATTTGGCTAACTTAGTAGATCATTTGCATCTCAGTCACCTATCGATGTGAATTATGCTTGGATGACAGTAGTTGTTTCTATCTTTTCATTTTTCCTCAGAATTCGTATCTTAGTGTTGACGTTGTATTGTATGGTTCAGGCAATGCTGATAGCTGCAGAGTCCAAACGTGAGGAGGAAAAGGCCAAGGGAGTTGGTGCAGACGAGGCTGCAGATAATCCGGATATTGTCCTGTTTGAGGACAATGAGGAAGAGGAGGAAGAGGAAAGTGAGGAGGAGGATGAGAGCAGCGGCCAAGCCACCCAAGGGAGAGGAAGGGGAAGAGGGATGATGTGGCAACCACACATGCCACTGGTACGTGGAGTGAGGCCCGTGGTTGGTGTTCGAGGCTTCCCTCCAGTTATGATGGGAGCTGATGGATTTGGTTATGCTGATGGTTTCGCTGCACCAGATCTTTTTGGTCCTCGGATCTTTCCGCCATTTGGTGGGCCAAGATTTTCTGGTGATTTTTCAGCAGGCCACATGTCGGGCTTAGTCTTTCCTGGTAGGCCCCCACAGCCAGGGGCTGTCTACCCAATGGGCAACCTTGGGATGATGATGGGACCTGGTCGGGCTCCATATATGGGTGGCATGCCAATGGCTGGGATTGGCCGATCCAATCGTCCTGTAGGAGTACCACCCTTCCTACATCCTCCACCTCCACTGAATAATCGGGCTGCCAAGAGGGATCATAGAAGACCAGTTAGTGATAGAAATGACAGATATGAGGCTGGATCTGATCAGGGCAACAGGGGCCAGGAGATGGTGGGAAATGTTGGTGGAGTGGATGACGACACAGGGTATTGGCAAGGTGAAAAGGCTCCCGAGGATAGATACGGTGCAGGAAGAAGCTTACAAAATGATGAGAGCGAGAGCGAGGATGAGATGGCACCAAGACGATCGAGGCATGGCAATGGGAAGAGGAAGCATCGTGTGTCCGAGGGGGAAGCTGCCTTGGACTAGTGAATCAGACATCAACTCGGTGTGAAGGAACATGGACGTCACAGCTTCTTGCTCAGGACATTTTTTGGAGATGTACCCAGATTGTTTCCTCTTTTTTTGCCCTCTCAACAATGTTTGTAATATTTGTACTACAAAAATGGAGTATGTTGCTCAGAAAAGGTTGGAACTAAATCTTTATGTTGAGCAGTGAAAAGTTATGTATTTGAACGATAGAAATTAGTCAGAGGATGGCGGGAATGCAGGGTAACCGCTGCCATCTAAACTTGTTTCTGTAGAGTTCTGTATAGGATGCTGAAATGTTAACCTGTATTGTTGAGGGCCTGCAGATTGGAATCAGCCGCAGCAAATTTCAACACAGATTTATGCCTCCTGATGAAGTTTCTCCTCGAATTCAATTTCTGGGTTGTTTTCGGTAATGCTGAAGTTGTTTTTCCTTTGTTGTCGATAGATTTGTTGGTCAATATCTGCAAATAATTTCATAATTGCTACCCCATGAGCAGTGGCCGCAGATACAATCTTGAAGTCCTCATTCTGATTTCTTGAACAGGTGATGCTTATAAGCTATAGATTAGATGGGATGCTGCATCAACCGAATCGATCATTGGTTCGTTGATTAGCTGCAGGAAAAAAATAACACAAAATTATCCTTTAAACAAAACATTTGATACTTGGAAATCGAAGTCATGTATGGGAGGGACTCTATCGTTGCTGCCTGATATTGGTACTTAGAAATGGAAGAATTGCATGGTAGCAGAAAGTTCGGTCTTAAGCACACAGAGCAGTCTGTCACAAAAGCATAAACAACGACTAAATCAATAAGATATCACAAACAAACCATTTCTTTGTATTATTAAACACTGGTGTCGATCTACAGGCTGATGTATAGCTTCTTCTCTTAGCTTCTTGTGGATGGAGCAAGGACAAGCTGAACATGATTGTTGCGCATCTATATCATTATCCTCCCACTTAGATCACACAGTTATAACAAAGCTAAACAGTGTCACCAGAAAAGAAAAATGGTCTCCATCCATCACTCCTCTTTTGTTTATATGTAACACACATATATATAAGGAGAATGAGACATGGTAGCACTGTTACAGGAAGCAGCTACACGCTGACATCGGCCGCCCTCGTCTTTTTAGCCATGAGATTACAGCACCAAGTCTCTTGTTGCTCCAGCTCCAGCACTCAGCCACAGCAAAACCATTTACTCTGAATCCAGATTTGTGAAGCAGTTATGAGATGGATTAAGAGTTGGAGATTTAGATTGCCACATTTCGGTTAATCTTAAACGGGAGACATGAGAAAGAAGCATACACTCTTTCTTGGATATTGATAGGTGGGATCTGGATTCAGACCACCTACATCATTTCTTCTTGGTGAAGCTGGGGCACCGGAGTTAACGATAGGTGTCTTCCTTTCGTCCCGAGCTTTGTTGAATATGACAGTAAAACCTTCAGCCGAAGCAGGATTATTTACATCCCACTCTCCGAACTTGGGCAGTGGACGACCTTTCTCCTGCTGCATTTAAACATTAATCGTAGAATCTGTGAATGTCATGGCAGAACAAAGCTGCAGAGCACTATAAAATAAAAAACAGCAAATTGTGAAAGAAGATAAACAGCATCGACAAAGACATGCAACATCATTTCCGTATCCACAATCACAGACAAACTAGAAGGATCGATCTAAATGCAGTGTGCACTGCAGTTTTTCAAGTGATTCATGATGTCGTGTACCCATTGGCATCTAAGGAAAGAACTAACAGAGGATGAAATAGAAGATCTAGACAACGAACATTGACTGCCTGCATCGAGGAAAAAGAGAAACAAAGATTTTTCTTGAAAACAATGCAGCTTGGTGTATTCTCGTTTCACATTTTTGTGTTGATCAACTGTTTGATTAATACACAACCATACCTCCAAAACAAGCATAGAAAAGCTTTGTTGCTCAAATGTATGAACAAAAATGTTCATACAAATGTCAAAAAGAAGCTACTTGGCAGCAAGCACGAATACCATTTCCATAAATCTAGTTCATTAATTTAACTATACTAAAAGCTAGTTGATTGTTTTATGGACAAAAAAAAAGCTTCCAATTTTGAGAAGAAAATATCATATCCATGCCAATTGTGCATGTGTTCCGATTGGACAAGCAATACAAGAAACAATGACCCAAGCTGCAACTACTCCAGAAAGAAATTACGGGGGCAAAGCCCTAATGGATACCGACATGACTCTAATTGATACCACCAGCTTCAACATACAATCTAAAACATCAAACCTTCGAGGGAACAATATGCCACACACAACTAGCAATCCAATTCGTCTTCTGCAGCATCTACGGACACAATGAAGGCTATCGTATATCCTTACCCAATAACCTCTTCAAATCCAATATTCGAACGAACTACACCGACATCGTATTCATGTCCAAGAATTAACTCCGACGAGGAAGAAGGCAACTCTACTAATTCCAAGGTTTAATCGACCAATAAGCATCAAAAGAAGGTAATGCGCGGGAAAGAGATGCACTTACCGACGCCATGACCGGCGGAAGCAGAAGCTATGAGATCCAAATGTCGGAGAAGATAGATAGATAGAGAGAGAGAGAGAGAGATCGGTAAGAAAAACGGACGGAGAGGGTAAATTGGTCGGAAGAGAAGACAGAGAATGTATTGGGAAGAGGAAGAGAAGCAGAAAACATAAAAGGCGATTTGTTCCCTAAAATACCCCCACTCGTCTTTCAAACTACGAATTTATCCCTCGCGAGTCTACACCCACTCTGCGTTTTAATACTACCTCGACGTACCAGTCCTGTCTGGCGGGCCCCACAAGCTCACATCAAGACAACTGGGTCCGGTGGTGAAGTGGGTGGATATGTCGATGCTCAGAGATATAACAATACGATAATTTGATGTTTCGTCGAAGGGCTACGGATGTAATTCCACTGAATGCACCGACGAATGCGGCCGGTCGTCCGCTCGCGAGTGGGGCGTGGCGTTGGCTCTTTTGACGGGTCAACGACGGGCCCGGTTCTCATTTGACGAGGGACCCACGACTTTCGGTCGTCCATAGCAGCAGGACGGTGAGGTGGCTCGACGGTCACGTGGACCGTCTTCCCCGATGATGTCCTTTCAAAGACAGGGAACACCGCTTCGTCCGTAGCCATTATTATTTATTACGCTTCTTTTGTATTCGACATTTGTTCTAATATTCTTATCTTTTGATGCTATGCAACCTTAAGCCGACATTTAGAAGAATAAGTTATCGTCAATCAACTAATAGATTCAGACAAACAGTATATTCCAATCCTGCATACGAATTATAAGAAACAAGTTTAATTCTGCATAGAGAAAGCATGAGTACGTGAAATAACTACGCAACTAAGATAAGAAGAATCAAGGAAACACGAAGCCTTAACACAATCCGATCCGTCCATTTCGAGGATCATCATCACCGACCACTTACCACCTGCACTCCTATACTCCAGCGCCGTCAGCGGCTGAAGCCTTGGCCGTATCGTAGGACGCATGGAGCCCGAAGAAGAAGTAGTAGATGAGCAGCAGTACGGTCCATACGCCGAACCTCACGAACGAAGGCCCGTCGATTGAACCGAGCAGGAATATGTTGATGGCAATGGACGCCGACGGCAGCCACGGCACCAGCGGCACTCCCCACGTCTGCGGCGCCCTCGCCTGCGGCACCGCCCACCACAAGAACCCTGTCGCCCCGAACCATACCACCACCGTCACCACGTAACCGACCCACCCTTCCCCGCCTGCCGCCCAGTACGCAGCGGTCGCGATGGAAGATGCCAGGATCAGCACGATGGCGCCTAGGAGCTTGTTTCGGTTGGTGTCGGTCGTCTCGCCACTGACGTAATAACGTCGGACGAGGAGGGCCACCGCAACCAGCATGAAGATGAAGAGTGTCGAGATGGAGAGGAGGTTGGAGAGTATGTTGAGGTTGGTGAAGAAGGCGATGATCGCAGTGGCCACGAGCATAACCACGGTGGCGTTGATGGGGGTGCCGGTGGTGGGGTGGACCTCGGCGAACCATGGAGGAACCATGTGGGTGCGGGCGATGTGGGTGAGGTAGCGGGCCTGCCCGACGGCCGACACGAGGAGCACCGTCGTCATGCCTTTGAGGGCGCCGAAGGCCACGATGTACTTTGCCCACTCCATGCCGATGGCCTCAAAGGCCACCGAGAAGGGCGCATCGGGGTCGATCTGCGCATAAGGCTGCATGAGGCAGAGAGTGAGCGCCAGTAGGCAGTAGCAGACGGTCGTGACGGTCATCGCACCGACGAGGCCCAGCGGGATGTCCTTCGCCGGGTTTCTGGTCTCCTCGGCCATCGTAGACACTGCATCGAAGCCGACATAGGCGAAGAACAGCACAGCGGAGGCAGAAAAGAGCCCGCGAACACCGAAGGGAGCGAATTCGGAGAGATTTTTGGTATTGGCGTGGGTGAGGCCGGCGATGATGATGAAGATGATGATGGCGAGGTGGATGATGGAGGCTACGTAATTGAAGCGAGAGGTCGCCTTGGTGGAGAGGACTGCGGCGACGCAGACTAAGGTGATGACGACGACAGCGATGGGATCGAGGTGGCTGTAGTCGGGATCAAGGGAGGTAGCGTGGATGCGGAAATCGTTCGGGTGGTGGTTAAGGAGGGTGGCGAAGTACGACGTCCATGAGCGGGAGACGGCGGCACCACCGATCACGTACTCGAGGAGGATGTTGCCGGCAGCGATGAAGGCCATGAAATCGCCGAGCTCGACACGAAGATAGGCAAAGGAACCACCTGTTAAGAAAAAGGAATCAAAGTAAGCTAATCATTACTGGAAGCAAAGCAAGGCGGCGGTGGTAACAGTATAGGCCGAACCTGCAACTGGAATCTCCACAGCGAACTCGGTGTAGCAGAAAACAGAGAGCATGGCAGAGACGCCGGAGACGACGTAGGAAAGGATCACAGCAGGGCCAGCATCGTCACGCGCCTCCTGGCCAGTGAGGACGAAGATGCCGGCGCCGATGACGGCGCCGATGCCGAACCAGATGAGATCCCACCATGTGAGGTTCTTCTTCATTTCGTGCCCACTCCGTGCCCTGATCTCGGTGAGCTCCGACTTGTCGAGGGACCGCGACATGACGCGATCCTTGAGTCGCATTCCCGTCTCCTTAAGCGCCTTGCCGTAGTTAGCCCAGCTCTGGAACGACTCCTCGGGAAGGAAGTCCTGCTTGGTGCAAGAACAAGTTCTTCTCTGCGGCTTCCCTCCGCCACTGCCTTCGCTGATGGTCCCCATGCCCACTTCGCTTCTTGGATCTCCTCTTCAGGCCGTCTAATGGCCCTGAAACAGTGACGACAGTAAGCATGCAGTGTTTGTTGTTCTTTATCCATCTTCTTTCTTATCTTTTGTCGATCTCAATCTTAAATATTTTCTCATCAGGAAACTTCAATGATTATAGTAAGTAATAAAGGAGATAATTATATTCTATTTTTCAGAGAATAAAACTCTTGAAGAATATTTCTTAGTATAAAATGGAGATCAGTTCATTCTATCTATAGATGAAGATACAATTGTGTAAAGGAAAAAGTATTGATGACTGTACGCAACGAGTAATCTCTCTCTGTATCACAATCGACAGTGGAATAGTGCCTTGAATCTGTATCTATGCCTGCAGAAATGGTTATTATCTTGTATGCTAATATCCCATTAAGAACGCAACAACTCATGTCATATCATAGTATACCCACTGTTCTTGCTTGCCTACTGTTTGTTTTTTTGTCAGTTCCAAACTCGCTTGAGAAAAACCTCACATATCAGAATCGAAAAACAGTGAAACAGCAACCTTTTTACTACATTTTTCTGCAGATGTTCGACGATATTCCAGGAAAAATCACACTAGTAATCAACAGAAAATAAAAGACAAACTTTTGTTTCTTTCTCAAACGAAAATAAAAGTTGAGACGAGAAAAGAGAGCAATCTACCGATGCAAAGGGGTAGGAGAGGGGAGTAAAGCACAGGGAGGAGGAGGAAGGAGAGCCCAAGCACTCGATGGTTCTCTCTCGTAGACGACGAACTATATGAACACCAACGTCGACGACGACTAACCCCCCCCCCCCACGCCAAAACGTTTCACCGACCAAGCCGAGCGACACGTGTTAACAACACCCCTGCGGCGCGGGAATGGAGGAGATATTGAACAGTGATCGGAATCCAGTTCAGATACACGGGAGGAAGGAGCCTCTCTGTGGATTCCCAGCTATCTATGGAGAGATTAATTGACAGCCGGCCATTGGCTGTCATCCGTTGTGATGTTTACCGTTTAGAAGAGTATCAGGGCCTAATAGATACTGCTGATCTCATTGAAATCTTCCATTTCTATCAGATGCCAAAGATCTAGGGTGAGTTTTCCAAAAATATTTCTAACTTTGATTTATTTTCACGTAGCACCCTGATTTTAAAAATTGCCTAAATATAGCGCTCATATTTTTTTTAAACGATAATATTAATCTTAAAAAATATTTAGATTCACATACGATTATATCGGATAAAAAATTAATTTGACTTGAACCAACGCATTTACCAGATACTATACATTCTTATTTCACATTTATCAATCGATATAATTTGTGTTGTATGATCTTTCATCTCTAGTCGCTCTCTATTTCATCGTTATTGTGACAATGTACTCTACAACCCTAAGTATCATTGATTTTGTACATCATTGTGTTTAGAATCGAGTTATGCCCTGATAACATCGACTCATTTTAGATTCTATTTCGTTACTACCCCGAGGAGGATTCTAAGGTTTGAGAATTTTTTACTTTTAGGCTTTCAGAACGGTAGAATATAGTGTGCTTCCTTAAGGTATGTCTCATTTCTATAAAATATATTTACTATAAAAATTAAAATTTTGGTTTATTATGTAGCTGTGGTTCAAGGGTTGCATTAATGTTTACTACTTTGAATAGTGTTATGAAAACTTATTATTTTACTATCAATTTTTTTAGTTTTTTTATAAAAATAAAATCTTTATCCAAACTAAAATGCTATTTTTACCTTATTTATTTCATTTCCAACAAATTATAATTCATCCATATAATATTTTTTTCATATTTGATCTTCTAAAGAGGTCCACAATATGAGTAGAAAAACTGGTCGAGACAAAAATTTTCCCAAGTGATGTACTTTTATAAAGAAAATTCCAAAGATAGTTTATTGCATAGATGCAATCTCAAATTTTTAGAAAAGCTTTGAATAGAACACTTATGGACATATGTCATTGGTTTTCAATTTTAATTTTTTTTCAAATATTGTTATAAAATTTTGAGCATATGAATAGTGTGTTATTTTTTATTTTCGCTTTTTTTTCTATTTAAAAAAATTACAAGGCATTCATGCAATTTTTTTTTTCACATTTAAGCTTTAAAATAGGTCAACAATTTATGTAAAAAATTTGGTCCAAAATTTTTTTAATAGATGATGCACTATTATTGAGAAAAGTTAAAAGATAAAACATCACATAGATGCACTATTTAAAATAATCTTCAATTTCTAGAAAAACTTTGAACATGACATTTATGGACATATGTCACATATTTCTATTTTAGAAAAAAATTGATATTTTTAT